GGTGGGACTCCTTGACTCCGTAGTACCAGACATCTGCTTACTCTTCGTCACACTTCCTTGAATGAGCCAATCTCAGTGTAGCTTCATATGTCATCCTTTTCAATATTTTTATCACTTGATTCTACTGTTACCAGATTTTTTTCAGTATCATTTTTAAAAATGCAAAAGCAGGCCCTCCCTGGTGGCTCAGCGGGTTAAAGCACAGCACTGAGAATCTAAAGCCGCTTCCGCATGAGTTCGATTCCCGCCTGCCCCGGAGGTGACCACATGGCGTGGCAGACCTCTCCTGACCCGCCTGCTGCTCCCCTCAGCAGTGTACTTCGTCGATCTGCCTGTTCTGCTCCCCACTCTGTCTCTGGTGAAGCCTCTCGCCGCCCCTGAGCCTCTGGCCTGTACCCCAGTTCTGTATGCACAAATAAATAAATCTTTAAAAAAAAAACTATCAGGACTTCTCTTATAAAAAAAAATGCAAAAGCAAACAAATATATGTTCATCATTTTGTTCAGATTTTAATGTGTATTTGTTTCTTATGAAAAGCCACCCTCACTTTGCTAATTGTAGGATTGAAGAAATAAAAAAAAAAATGCATCATATGACCACACCAGTAAGATTAAGCTACTTCCATACTGCAGCACACACTGATTCACACAACTTTCTCAGATGAATGTGAGGCTGAATTAAACACACATGGAAAATAAAGTACACAGTTAGATGGAATAATAACACCTATGAAAATAACATTTAATTTTGAAAGGAGTAAATAGGACAATGAAGTGTATCACAATGTAAGGTCAGCAATCAAGTCTAACAGAAGGTTAAAGAAACAAAGTGACACAGTGAAAATGAGATTAATTCCAGGTCCTACAGTCAATTTTTTTCCCCTCTCACCAATGGCCCAAGACAACTAGTTTTGAAATCGTGACTGCTCTTTTCTAATATTTTAATTCTCTGAGTTTGGGCAACCACCATTTCCCACAGAGAGGTGAACTTAAACATATGGCCAAATACTATTCAGCAGTCAAAAGTATGATGCAGGAGCCTTTAAGGAAAAAGATTGCTAGTAGTTTTATTTTTCGGTGATTAAAAAAATATCGGATTATAGAAGAACAGCTTATGTTCATCATTGCTCCATTTTTAATCATACAATGTCACTTTGTAGAAACTTAAGTTTTTATAGGAAAGCCATAAAATGTCTTATTTCAAAGTCTTGTTTTATGTAATTCACATCCCTTCTTCAGACATAGGTAGTTGTGGCACAACTTAAGTAGAAACATTACAAAACATTTGAACATGCATGAATTTTAGCACACTAAAAATATTTTATATATTATCTTCAATGATTTAAAATTTTCATTCAATTCCAAATCAATCATTTTGATATTTGATAAAGTGTTTAAAATTTCACCTTAAAAAACAGCTATCACATATAACTTTTTATTCTTTATAATATAGAGAAAAGACAAAATGACCCATAATTTTAGTGCAGCTTATCCCAGATATATATATATATATATATATATAAAAGTAATACATGTACATGGCCAGAAAATACAAATTGTTCAGAAACTAAGTGAAAAGTAGAAGCCTTCATTCTTTCCTCAATTCACCCCATGTGCGCTTCCCAAAGGCAATCACTTTTTCTTCTCAGCTTTCTTTTTAATTGAAAACTGTGTGGAATTTGTCTTTCAGATCTAACTCAGGTTCTGCCATTTCTTAGGGCTCCCGCCAAATTGGCAGACTGCATCAAAGCCAGATACCCCGCGGTCTACAGAAACATCTGACACCACCTTTGCTTTCGTTGTAGGACTCCTATATTTCTAGAACTACTATAATGATATCCTTTTGGGACATGAGCTACAGAAGCAAAGAGGCCAACTGTTACAAATGTACTTTATTTTCGAGCAACTGTCTTTACATTCTTGGGAATATTTTGTAGCCAAAGGGACTATATGAATTTAATAAAAGCTGCCAAATCCCCTCTAATAATGTACCAAATTTGCTCTCCAGCCAGTATATAAGTGCTTGTTTAGTGTACCTTCACAAGCTCAATTTCCAACTGTTTCTATGTGAATGATAAAAATGATTTATTTCGTGTCTTAATTATGAGGGTGAAAATCTTGTTCACATTAAAATGTTTTTGGTAAAATTTTCACGTTCCTTAGCCCATTTCTACTATTTTTCAATTATTTTAAGAGTTCTTAGTACTTCAGGTAAAAAGTACTTTGTTATTTTTACTTATCTAGGCACTGCTCTAGATGCTGAAGACAAAGTGCATCCCTTCAATTAAGGAGTTTAAGTTCTAGTAATGGGATATAGGAAACACAGACATACATACAGGGTGGTGATAGTCACAATGGAAAAAGATATAGCAGAGTAAAATAGGGATAGAAGGTAACAGCTGTGTGGGTGTGGGATGTTGCTTTATACAAAATGGTGAGGGAATACCTCTTGGATAAGGTAGAGAGACTTCAGAAGATACTTAGAAGGGAGTAACCAGTGTGAAGATCTGGGAAAGAACATTCTAGGCACAAGGACTAGCAAGTAAAAAGGTTGTGAAGGCATGTTTGAAGAACAACAAAAAAGCTGACGGACCACTGGTTCTGTGATGGGTGCAATGGGTACACAGGGAGGGTTATATGACTGGAGGTGAGTGGAGGAAAGGAGACCCGTTATGAGAACTTGAGATAATGTTTTTTATCTAACATAATAAATAACAACCTTGTTTGTGTCTTGGTTTTATGTGAATCAGACAGAAAACTACAAAGATATCTAGTATTTTATATTTTCATATTAATCTTTCTGAACTATATAAAATTGTTTGTGGATAAGCACTGGAACAAGCAAGGCTACTGCATGTGGCTGTGTGATTTATTCATTGTACAATGGCACCAGGCTGAAAATCCAGTCAAGACTTGGTGCACCAGGAGGTACAGAATCCTCCAGAGGGCCTTTTTCTAATTTGCACAAAGATGCTACATGATTAAATGGTGGCACTGGAACTGCAGTTCAAACTCTATCTTAGGATACCGAATAACCCATACTTTTGCCATAGTGATTTGAAAGGCCACCTTCATCCTGTTAAACATTCATAGCTTCTTGCATCTTTGGTGAAACAAAAAATCTTACAAAGGCCAAAGTTTGCCATATTAATTTTTTTTTTTTTTAAACAGCCTCTCCTCACTAGGGAAGTCTTAATTTTAGGAGAAAGAATAAATTTTGGCATACTAGGAAGAGTTGGTACAGATGGAGGAAGAATTCATTTTCTGATGCAATAGAAAAAAACTGCATTTCTTTAATATCTGCTTAAATACAGACTTGTGTTTAGCCTAAACACAAGTCATTGCGAAGCGCTTCATGCTAATCCTTGGAAAGACTTTCTTATCTACCTTGCTATAATGGCTCAACTATCCTTCTAAAGTCCTCCTGCTAGAGGAAAACTTCATTTTCAGATTCGCAGGTTTAGCATCAGTTGGAGCACTTTGACTTAGGTGAAGGTTTCCTCTACAACAATCATAGGAGGATGAAGGCGCTAACAACAGATTATAGGATGTACACATTGGGAATGGGGAGGCATTTGGTGGTCTCTTTTCAAACAAAAACTAAAATTCTGGCTTCTTAGCTGTGTATGTGTTTTTCAGATCCACTGTTAAGCTATTCCTGCCTTAGCAGAACAAGAAATAAACCATTTGAAACTTCTGCCAGAAAAAACAGGCTTCCTTCTCCTGAGACAAACAAGCATAAAATAAGCATAAGGGGGAATGGAAAAGAGCCTGCTTTGTGGTTTTATGCTTAGGAAAGGAGAAACTGAGACATCACAGGTTCCAATTTGTCAGGTACTATTTTCTTACCTTTACACAGAAGGGTTGGGGTTGAAGAGAATGGGAAATGGAGCAAGTGGCAAAACAACCAAAGTTCTCTAATAAAGTAGCTCCCTCAGGTTCTCCTCTTTTTCCTCAGAAACCAAGCTTTATCCAAAGAAATAGTATTTATCAGGAGTGCTGTCAAGGTTGTTGAAGAATTTGGTAGATTGTGGTTAAGTCCATTGTAAGAATAAATCTTAAATTTACTGTCCAATCTCAGAAAAGTAACTCTATGTCAACAGAGGGGACTAAAAAATGAGGAATGCAGTGGGGTAGATGGGCTTGATTATATATAAAAGATAAGGACATTTAATTTTACATCATCAGTTTTATGAAAGGCAAATGTGAAAATATTTGAAATGTTGTACTTTGCCAACATTTCCAAGTTGAATATCTTTCAGATCCAAGTCATGTTTCAGTGCTTCAATTACATATGCTTAAATATTTTTAGGTAGATATACTTAGAATTTTCTGCTTTTCAGTAATCCTAGAGCAGTAACAGTGACAGCTGGAATTAAAAAATCAGATACCAACAGAGGCACAAATTTGGTAATTTTGATATTTAGATAAGAAATATTCTTTTCACTGCCCTTTTCTACCAATTTTCTTCCTTATCTCCTAGGCCAGGTATAATTCGATCATCCATTAGTGGTCAACATTTCATCTAGATCTATTCCCTCCCAACTTGTTCCACATTTCAAAGTTACCTTTTTATTCTGACCTCCTGCTTCTTCAAATCTTGCAAGCAACAACCCTCGCTTCGTTAACCCTTGCCCATACCTAAGGCAATTTCCACGTAACAGAATGGTGATTATCATAAGCTTTCTCTTTTTCCCGTTCTAATAGTCACAGAACTAATCAAGTGAACCAGCAGCATCACTGACACTAGATCATATAAACAGACCATTAAGTTTGGTGGGCGAAAAATGAAAACATTTACCATTTTGCAACTCTAAGAAAACAAACCATTTTGCAACGCTAAGAAAAATTTCAAATTAAAGGAATGGTTGGCTTATTTGTCTTTTGATAATCCTCTCATAACTTTACAAGTCTAGGAGATCATATATAGCCTCTGTCTGCAAAATCAAATCACTTGTTATTTTAGTTTACAAAGAGTAGATGAGATGTTAGAAGCAGAAATTTAACAAATACTATTTTATTATTTACAAAATACAAAGTGATCATAAGGGTACATATCACAAATTACAATACAGAAAATTACAGGGAAAAGTAGAGCTAAATGTGTTAATTGACAACAAAGTACCCATTCTAGTGAATGCATTTAGAAAAAAAAATAGCTCTTTGTTAAAGTCTGGTAAGGTCAAGAGTAGGTACATTGTTGTGCAAAAAAAGTCAATTACTTACAAATATGCCTCTGCCAAAAAAGTAGAAATGTTAGTAGTGTATGTAAGTGTGTCCTAAGTGAAATTACAGCATACACAGTGATCCACAATACAACAATGATTTTAGGCAGGGATCTGTGAGAGACTTGATTGCCTATCTTGCTGGAAGAGCAGAGCCCCAGGACTGATTAACTTCCCTACCTTCCATAAAGCTTTGTTCAGGTGACTTTGGAATGTGGTATCAAATACCCCATTCATTTCTGTTGCAAGTTCCCTCAAAACAGACACTGTGGACTCATCACTGGCATTCAGAATCCGCATAAAGAATTTATTCCACAATTCACCATCTTTTAGCCTAAAAATACATAAAACCATTTCCATCAAGATTAGGCATGTAAAAGAGAAATTTTTCTGTGTTTAGCTCAGTGGTACATTTATGCACCAAGATGATTTAAAGCAATACCTAGACCTAGTCTAAGGTTAGAGATCATTCAAGCAATCCTTTAGAAATGCAGGGTGGAATTATGGGAAAAAACAAAACACCACCAAAGTGGGAAAAGCCATAAACACAATGCACTAACAGGGAAAGTCTCGTATCTAAATCTGTAAGCGTCCTCTTTTTATTTAGGTGCAGCACTTCTCCTTTATAAATGGGAGAACAATGAATTTTGTCTCCTCTCCATTAATTTTTCTGAACTCCAGTCGTTAGGATACAGCTCCCAGATTCTCCTCACTCAGTAATATGTAACCTTCACAATCTTCTCAGAAGCCTAGCTTTATTGAAATGACTACTGTTTAAGTCTATTTTTGTACCCTTTTTTTTTTTAAAGCTGAAGAATCTTCTTTATTATTGTTGTAGAAGGCAGAGCTATTAAGAAACCCAAGTGTGGCCCTCCCTGGTGGCGCAGCGGGTTAAAGCACTGCACTGAGAAGCTAAAGCCACTTCCGCATGAGTTCGATTCCTGCCTGCCCCGGAGGTGACCACATGGCGTGGCAGACCTCTCCTGACCTGCCTGCTGCTCCCCTCAGCAGTGTACTTCGTCGATCTGCCTGTTCTACTCCCCGCTCTGTCTCTGGTGAAGCCTCTCACCGCCCCTGAGCCTCTGGCCTGTACCCCAGTTCTGTATGTACAAATAAATAAATCTTTAAAAAAAAAGAAAAAAAAAAAAAAAAAGGAAAGAAACCCAAGTGACCCCTTCCTCTTTCTGTGAGCTCTATCTAGTTCCACAATCAACTAGAGATACATGAATCTATCCCATATTGTCTTACATTTCAAGTCTATTTTTAAAGCAGATGTTAGAGACAAACAAGACTGGCCAAATTCTGAATTAAAGAAAAAAAAAATTGTTGGGGGTGGAGGGAAGTGGAGAAGGAGTAAATCTTCAACAACGACTTTGTTTTTTAACCAAAGAAGATACCAATAAATGATAGACTGGTAAGCTTATTCTGCAAAGTAATTAGCTACGATAAATTAAAGTAGAATACAGGATATTTAATAAGTTTTATGAATAGACTTGAGGGAGTACTAAGGTTACAAACAACTCTTAGTAAGAGAACTTCACTTTTTCACCAAGGAAACTCAGTTCTGTGCTTTGATTCCACCCATTCATTAAATAAATAATAGCCCCAAATTAGTGTGTAATTTAGAAATTTAAGTTTCTTTAAGAGATGCTTATTAACTTTTGCTAACAATAGATATTAAAAAGGGATATAAGATTCACATTAATTGGTTATAAAAATGATTCTCACGAAATATTTCTATTAACTTCTAAACTGAGAGGCTCCCATACTGTAGTTGCAGCCTGTATGATACATCTAGGTCCAGAATGACATCCTGAAGTCAGAATAGTTTCTTATCTTTAATTAACAATTCCTTTGCCCTAGTCTAGGTGTGCCACTGATTCTCTGATGGAATCACAGTGTTTGGACTAAGAAAACTAAGGCTGCCAAGGAAGAGAGAGCAACCAAGAGAAAGAAAGTTGTTTGAATGGGCAAAGACCCTGAAGTCACCAATACTTACTCAGAAATATTTTGGCTAAGTTTCCAGAGGGACCCATTCCAGAAGACCTGTAGGTGTTCCTTGAACAATAGTAAATGTGCTAAATCTGCAATACCAAACAGATCTACCTGGAATCACAAAAAGCACCATCAGCTAAAATAATTCACTGCTACTATCATGGCCATATATAGGAAGTTGAAAGATATGAAAGTGCTTAACTAAGTTTATCTTAGGACACAAAGTTTAGTAGATTATTCCTTACCCTTGTAATAGAGTTCTCTCCATAGAACTGATCTCCCCATAGAACTGATCAATAAGGTCGACTCAAGGAATTACACTTAACAGAAGATGACAAAATACCTGGCTTGTCAAATTTAGGTTTGTAGATCTACTGAGTTTGCTCTATCTAAAAGTGTCCACATGACCAGTTCAAGGTTTATTAAGCTACACATTCAATCAGCAAATGCCATATATCCAAAGCTGAGTCAGAAGGGAATATAATACCATATAAAACACTTCCATATAAAACACTTTACATTTGCCCAAACATTCTTTCTAAACACATTACTCCATTTAATTCTCACACAATTGCAATGTACAGAGTTAATTGTTATCCTTATTTTACACAGATCACAGAAAAAAACTTCTAAAAGGTCACACATTTAAGTGGTAGAAATGGCCCTGATTCTTAGGTTACTGAGTTAGCCATTTGTCTGCACGTGTATGTGTATATTCTTCAGTGTTGTGACAGAAAAATGGTACATTTTCCTTGACTTGGAGATATTTGAAAACTAGGTCACCTATTCTAGGAGAGATAATTATGAATAACCATTAGCTTTTATAGCTTATCTAGCTAAGAAAGAGATTAAGAAACGCTCTCCATATTTGCCCAGGCTTGTTCTACACTTACCTGGTAGGGAGAAGAACAGTTAGCCAGGATCTTTTGTCCTTCTAGGATCTGTACAGTCCGAAAGCCGCTGAGGGTGAAATTGTCTAGCTGCACCCTAAGGTCGACACTGTAGGAGAAGTCCACTATCTTCAAAGCTTGACTGTTCTTGTTACAATCATAGGGATCGTGGATTCTAAGCCCAGATTTAAGAGAAAGAGATAATAAAAATAGGCCATGAAAGCTGCAGAGCTGGTATTTAAAAAAAAATAAAGAAAAAAAAGAGGTACTGCAGGTGTGTCTTAGCTATGCCAACAGCTCCCTCTAGTGGTCAGTTATGAAAATGGCCCTATAAAAACAGTGTCACTCCAACTAGGGAAATAGTTAAAATTATTGATACAAAGACAATTGACCCTTGAACAACACAAGTTGTCCACATATACTGGAGATTTTTCAATACATATTATCAATGCATGAATTGTTGTACCTATAAATAAATATGAATTTTTTCACATTATCTTCATTTTTGATGTCTACTGTTAGTAATACATGATACAAAGCACAAAATGTTTTAAAACAATATTAATGTCAATACTGACAGATGATTCATCTGTTTAACAGGTTTTTACTGAGATAAATACAGTACAGTACTACAGACGTATTTTCTTTTCCTTATGATTTCAAGTTTTTCTCTAGCTTATTTTAATGTAAGATTATAGTACATGTAACATACAAAATATGTATTAGTCATCTGTTCATATTATTGGTAAGGTTTATGGTTAACAGCAGGCTACTGGTTAAATTTTTGGGAAGTCAAATGCTATATGTAGACTTTTGAGCACACAGGGGTGTGGTGGGGCATGACAGTGACTGCAAACCCATGTTGTTCAAGGGTTGTATATACAAAATAGTGCAGTCACTACAGAACAATGATCAAGTTTTTATATTATATAAAGTACGGTAAGTTGAGGGTACAAGGCCTTTGCCTTGTACTGAATACACCAACGCTGATTTATATACCGACAAGAATTGTGATGGAGGCAGTTAAATCTTTAATGTGTCACAGATTTTTTAAAAAAGATTTATTTATTTATTCATACAGAACTGGGGTATAGGCCAGAGGTGAAGGGGTGGTGAGACCATTCACCAGAGACAGAGTAGGGAGCAGGACAGGCAGATTGACGAAGTACACTGCTGAGGGGAGCAGCAGGCGGGTCAGAAGAGGTCTGCCACACCAACTGGATCACCTCCAGGGCTGGGGATTGAACTTGCACTGAAGTGGCTGCAGCTCGCTTGCAGTGCTATGTCCTAACCCACTGCACCACTAGGAAGGGCCAGTGACACAGATTTTTATTTAATAGGTAAGGTTTTCCAAGTGTTGTTCAGAATTCTCCTTCCCAGAGTGTAACTAAAACACTCTAAATAATGGTGTTTTTAAAAAAAATGTATTTATGCATATATAACTGGAGTACAGGCCAGAGGTGTGTGCAGGGGCGGTGAGAGGATTCACCAGGGTCAGAGTGGGGAGCAGAACAGGCTGACTTAGGAAATACTCTGCCGAGGGGAGCAGCAGACAACACTGGAGAAGTCTGCTATGCCATGTGGGTCACTTCCCTAGCTGAGGAGCAAACTCAGATGAAGCAGTGCTGAAGAGGCTGTGGCTAGCTTCATAGTGCTGAGCTTTAACCCACTGCATGACCAGGGAGGGTCCTCAAGAGTGTATTTTTCAGTAGTGCCTATTCTGCTCCCCACTCTGTCTCTGGTGAATATGCTCACCCCCTGGACTGCTGGCCTACACCCCAGTTCTTGTATGCATAACTATATTAAAAATAAATCTTTAAAAAATACATATGGAAACTGCATTAAATGATTTAAAGGCCCTCCCTGGTGGTGCAGCAGGTTAAAGCACAGCACTGAGAATCTAAAGCCGCTTCTGCATGAGTTCGATTCCCGCCTGCCCCGGAGGTGACCACATGGCGTGGCAGACCTCTCCTGACCCACCCGCTGCTCCCCTCAGCAGTGTACTTCGTTGATCTGCCTGTTCTGCTCCCCACTCTGTCTCTGGTGAAGCCTCTCGCTGCTCCTGAGCCTCTGGCCTGTACCCCAGTTCTGTATGCACAAATAAATAAATCTTTAAAAAAAAAAAAAAGAATAGGGTTGGTAAGGTATGGAAAAATTAAAAAAAAAATCAATGATTTAAAAATGTTCTTTTAATTCCTTGTGAATCTCTACAAAACTTCCCTTCTAATTTGGTTAAACTGCTACAAAATTAAAGGCAATGTCCCTTGAATACTGCTTTCCCAGAGTCCTCTGATCACTGACAGAAGGAATGTTTGAATGCATGGCTCTATATGCCAAATCTTAAAAATGCTTAGAAAACCCCTTTGATTAAACTTTCATGGCCCTGGGGACTCCAGCACTATCTTTGAACTATTGATATTGTAAAATAGGGTGAAAATCAAAACTATACCAGAGGCTCTCATATTTGGAAATACATGGAGGAATTTTTGGTTGTCACAATGGTGGGGGGTACATAACTTATATTTAATTGGATGGGGAGGAATTGTAGGGGACAAGAGTTGTAAATATCCTAAAATGCTTGGGATAGACTTGTATATAACTGTCTTATTCAAATTACCTATGATGCCCTGGATGAGAAATGCAGTGATATTATGCCTAGGGAAGCCCTTGGGACTCTATGTCAGGAAAGAAGGTGGGATCTTCTAGTCATTTTGATTATAACTGCAGAAATACATTGAGGGTTCTTTTAATTTTCATGCCAAATATGATTTCACCTAATGCAGTTTTCTGTTACAGACTAAGTAGGTCAGGTGAGAATGGCTGCAACTACTTGTGTATACCAACGACCTCAGAGAAAGTTAACTATTTCCCCAAGACACAGGGTTGGGGCAGACAAAGCATTTTCAAATGCGACTGCTTTATTCGAATGCTATGAGATCAATGATCACTAAAAGGATATGCTAGTCCTTTCTACTTTTCATAAAACAAAAATCAAGTTCTGTCTTTTCCTTGTTCATATCTCAAATGCTTTATGTTTTTTTAGTTCTTTGTACTTGGGCTTCATTTTTTATTTCCTGCCCTGCACTCATCCTTTGAAAACGATGGCTAAACTGGGTTTAATTTGAACACTAAGCCCCACTTCTTGTTACAGTTGCATTTACACTGTGGCTGTACCCATTTCTTGTGGGAATTACCTCAATTTGGTCTAACTTGAACTTTGGTCTACAAAAATGAAGAAAAACTTCAGTTTTGCTAGCATCCTTAGTAGATCTGAAATGCCCTCCCACCCCCAAGAAAAAATCTAAGCGTTCTAGTTCACATCCCTTAAGTATATATCTTCTTGACAGGATTATCACAATATTCAGAGTGGTTCTTTTTTTCTGAATGAATGTACTTTTCTAATTTTTTTCCTTTGAATCCTTTTAACTATTTCCAATAACTTTTAAGTAGCAAATGTTCTCTTATCATATTTTGTTCATCAATATGGTATTTATGGTATTTAGTGCCCTCCCTGGTGGTGCAAGGGGTTAAAACACAGCACTGTGAAGCTGTCTGCAGCCATTGCAGCACAAATTCGAGCTCAGAGCAGGATGCTGACCCCCATGGTGCAGACCTCCTCTGTCTTCCCCTCTGCTCCCTTCAGCAGTGTGTTTCAGTCTACCTGCCTGAACTGCTCCCCGGTCTGTCTCTGGTGAGTTCTTTCACCTTCCCTTCTGCACCTCTGGCCTGTACTCATGTTCTTAATATTCATAAATATATAAACCTTTAAAAAAAAAGGCAAAAGAAATGGCAACTATGTATATTTTAAGAGAAAGATGAATTATAAGGGGATATAAAGTACCAACCTGTTTCTAAGAATCAGACTTCTTGGACTCAAATCACCATGAACTATTTCTGCTTTGTGTAGTTTTTCCACTATTGTTAAAAGGTTATAAATAATCAACATTGTCATTTCATGAGTAATAAGTTCACTGTGTTGAAGAAGATCCTATAAATAGAAGAAAGGAAAATTTAAGTTGGGGTGGCTGTTCTTATACCCAAAATCTTGCTAATTGCTGTTTCATATTCTTCCTTGTTCTCTACTAGAATGTGGGTGCCCTTGTAACTTGGGTGTTTTCTCCCAGCTTTAATACTGCTTTCCTATAAAACTGTAAAATTTAATGAAAAAATGGATGAAAGTTATCAAAGAAAAGCCTGCCCCATAACAGGTGCTCTATAAATGGTAGTCTTAAACATCTTCATTCCAACCATTTTCGAAAATCCATAATTATCAAAATACACAACAAAACCTTCTTAACATTTCAAAGAACAAAATGATATATTGTGTTTGGAATCTGAAAATATCGTATGTGTGTGTGTGTGTGTGTGTGCAAATAAAACAAGAGCGGTAAAAATAGACCTATGACTTCCAGTTCCCAGTCCTTGTATAAGAGAGTTGGAAGTGTTCACTATGTTTTAACAAGTAAAAAAGCTAAAGACACTGAAAAATCAACTCTTGTAGGTGAGGATGCAAGGCAAAATGCTGACCCCAAGACTGAAGAGACAGGCAAATACAGAGTTACAGCTTAATGGAGAAGATTAATGAGCAAAAGCCACGGCAGGAACCAATGCCAAGGTAAGAAAACCTGAACTTTATCTAGCTGACAAATTACTGGAGGCTCACTGTGGAACGTCTGAGAGTTGAAAACTCCAGGGGGACCTAGTCATGGAAGGAGACACACTATTTCTCTAGGAGTTAGAGTTCTCAAAAGTAAATGTTGGAGAAGAATCTTCTGCCAACATTCGGAGAGTGAGAAGGAACAATTTTGAAATTTGCCAGACTCAACAAGGTCTGCTCTTGGGGGGAACTTATTAACCAGAGCTTAACCTGATGGATGTTAGCAAAGCCTACCTAATCTGGAGAAGGAAAATACCCAAATCTAGCCCACTCTGGCCATTCTATCTCATTACATAGGGAGGGATGGTGAGTAAAAACCAGAAATAGTTGTGAAGTTCATAATCCAGAGGCATAGACTCACTATAAATCAGGACAACTGTACATCTTTTTTTCTCCCCCCCCACAATATTACCCAAATACCAAAGGTCTATTTACAGTAGTTCCTTCAACTTGGCACGTAGTATCTAGACATCTCCTGACCCCCCTGTTGCTCCCCCCTCAGCGGTGTATTTCAGTACATCTGCCTGTTCTGCTCCCCACTCTGTCTCTGGTGAATCCTCTCACCCCACTCCTCTGTGCCTCTGGTTTGTGCCCCAGTTCTTGTATTCTTAAAAAAAAATCTTAAAAAAAGAAAAAAAAAAGGATATCAATAAAGAACTACAACACATACCAAGTATCAAAACTAGACATGGTGTGGATACTGGAATTACTATATTGAGAATTTAAGACAGGAGGCCATGAGCTGATGATGACCCTAATTAGATAACTGGATCACCGCACAATTCTGTCCACTTTCATATATTAGAAAATTGGCATAAGAAATAATTTTTAAAAGCACCATAGAGATTCTTAGTCAAAATAACTCAGGGGGAAAAAAATCAGTGTTTTTAATTTGTATTTCTAGAAAGTTCTGTACTAGATACCTTTGCAAAATAGAGCACAAATCTCTCTACTTGAAGAACTTAAATATATGTTTTTATATTAATTGCAAACCTGAAGAGTGAAGCAGTTTATATATTGATGCCAAATAATGTAGCCATCCTGGTACTGATAACAGTTGCAAATATGATCACATTCCTCATTTAAACGTTCCTTTAATTTGCAGTTGATATAAAAGTCCCATGGAACAGGTTGAGATGACACCTGTAAGAAATTATATTTGAAAAATAAAAGCAATTAGAATCTATGACTATAGTTGAAGACTGAAAACATTTACGCTAGCCCTTTCAAAACCAGAACAGAAATAACTGTATAGGGCTATTTTAAAAGGCTTAAATCTGCAACAAAAGACACATCATCAGCAACAAATTCTAGAACCTGGATAGAAAACAATGAGATAATAATTCAAGAAAAGTTGATTCTAATAGTGGAGAAAGTTGATAGCAACTGAAGTTTTTTTTTTTTTTTTTTAAAGATTTATTTATGCATACAGAACTGGGGTATAGGCCAGAGGTGCAGCGACGGTGAGAGGATTCACCACACACAGAGCAGGGAGCAGAACAGGAAGATTGATGAAGTACACTGCTGAGGGAGCAGCGGGCAGGCCAGGAGAGGTCTGCCACGCCATGTGGTCACCTCCGGGGATGGCGGGAATTGAACTCATGCTGAAGTGGCTTTAGCTTCTTACTGCTGCGCCACCAGGGAGGGCCACACCAACTATAGAAAAGTAAAAGCAGAGCTAGAGCAGAAGTGGCTGAACCCTATTAAAGAGTAATTAGATTCCAGATGCCTGTAGTGCTGCTGTAGCTGAGCTAGCAACTCCCTTTCCCATCCCATTCAGTCTTAGAAAACATGTAACTGAGGTATTCTGGACTGGAGGACGCTGCTGAAGGTGTGAATAACACCTTTAGAAAATTTATGTAACAAATGTTGAGATACACCTTACAATACCCTCCAATTGTCCAGATGAATTTCCCACTCAGATTTCAGAAACCTAGCAGTCAGACTTAGATTATTTATTCAGGAAATTAAATTTTTTCTCAAAAGGATTTGATTACTTTAAGAAAAGACCTAAAGACTGGGGGTTTTCCAATAAAGTGGTCAAGAAGCTCATCCTATAGTGAGACCCATAGCTATAAGGTCCTCCCAACCCCATACAAAGAACTGTCAATTAGCTTTTAGAGTTCCATGCTTAATAATGAGTAGAGAGCCAAAGACATGAAGAAAGCCTGTGATATGAAAGATATCAAAATAAACAAAAGGAAACAGATAATGCAAAAAAAAATTTAAAGCACCACTAATATGTTCAGAGGTAAGGAATATTCTTTTTTTGAAATGAATAGATGCCACAAAGAAAATTCTGAGACTAAAAAAGAACTTTTGCAAATTAGATACATGATGAAATGAAAAACCCAGTACAAAGACTGAAAATAAATTTGAAAAAACATTTTCCAGAAAGCAAAACAAAAAGATAGAAAATAGGAGGAAGGCAAGGGTAAGACTTTTAAAGGATCTGTCCAGAAGATCCCATAGCCTAATAAAAGGCATTTTACAATGACAGAACTAAGAAGACTGAGGTGAAGAACTTTATCTCTTAAGAAAATTTCTCAGAACTGAAGGAGTTTACAGAATGAAATAACCACTGAATGCCTAGCACACTGACAACAGACTATAATGAAAGCATGTAATTGTGATATTTCAGACTATTGGGGGAAATATAAGATCCTACAAAGAACAGAAAAAAAAATCTCACAAAGAATGGCAATAGATTTTAAAAGCAAGGGTAGAAACCAAGATAATGAAGTTCATCTTCAAAATTCAAAGGAAAAAAAATTTTGAACCTAGTAGTCTAACATCAAGCCAAACCACCAACCAAATAAAGATGTGAAATAAAAAATTTTCTGACATTAAAGGTTTCAAAATATTTACATCCTATGCAACCTTTCTTAGCAGCTACCAAAAACAGCACTTAAATCAAGAAAAGAAAAAATGTGATACAAGAAACAGGGGGCATTTCATACTTCCAACCCCTAGAATGATAAAAGAATAGAAAAAGTGATACTGTGTGTGTTTGCGTGTGTGTGTGTGAATGTGAGAGAAAGAAATCTAGAGTGTAACTTGTGCAGATTAGTGCAAGCCAGACATTTCTGAAGAGATTCCCTCAAAATGGTAAAATTGATGAAACTTAAAATTTTTTGGACATATTAAGACATATATACAGTAGCCTCTCACTTTTGATATTTGGTGTTGGTTTAACCTGATGAGTGGCTTCTGTAAGATGAAAAAAGCAGCTTACAGACAGATTGTTAGAAGGGTTTTATGGTATTGTTGGGGTCAGTTACTGCTTCAGCACACCATTATAGGCAAGATAATTGAAATTACAAAGAATCAGTCCTACCTTTATTATAGTTAATTCTGCAGAATTTCTTGGCGTCACCCAGAATAATTTGTAATCTTCACATACTAGGTATTCTTGTTTAATGCAATAATCTTCATTACCTGTTGAGAACATTTGATTCCATTTAAACATCACTGTGAACAAATATAACCTAGGATTTCATAGCTTAAGTGCTGCTTTATATCTGCCAGTAAGTAGAATCTAGAAATACCTGTAAAATCACTTATTAAAAAATGAAAGAGGGATAGAATTCCTATTGTAACTGGGATATGAGCTTACCAAAAGCTCAACTTCTATAGTGCTATTTCTTACAATCTGGAAATATTTATAACACTCAAGCATCAAGGACACAGAGTCACTTACTGTACTTTGTCATACACAAAAGGACACAAGTGATACTCACCTAATTCAATTTCCTTCCCTATTTCCAACTTAGGCATTGGTTTGTCTTCTATAAAAAATTCTGCAGCAGCAGTCAGCTCTGGTAAGGATTTTAGTAACTGTACTCGATACTGTGAACACCAAGGTGATTGAGTAGGGTTGTCTGGGGGAAAAGTTAAAAACAAACACCAAAGATGGATACTTTAACAGAGAGGAAAGGAGAAAGAAATCATTATTGTACAATGTTAACCACTCATCTATCTCAGGTCTTTATGATATTGTGTTCAGTTAACACTAACTCTGCTAAAAATTCATAATCATTGATAGCCAATTTTTCTAGAAATTAAAGCAAACATCTCAATTTGATGAGATAAAGTGTTCACCAGACATGGATGTACTTGCTTGTTTGCAGTGATAGCATAAGACCCTACCTGCAGTCTCATTAGTAAGCTCCAGTTTCTCAGGAATTTGAAGACACTTGATGGAGGAAGTGCTTGTAACTGAAGTAGAAGATCCAGAGTACCCAGAAGAGTGTGTTGCTTCACGACTGTCTTCAATAATTGGGCTGAAAGAAAATACAAATCTCAATTTCTCTGAGTCAGTCCTCGGAGAAATAATAGTCATTAACTTTTCTTGTTATAATATGGCTTGATATTCAACACTCTCATTTTAAAAGCCCATTATTTTCCCAAAACAGAAATAGATTCATAACAGAATCTAGGTAATTCTATCTACCATGACTGACAAGCAATGTCTAGTACCTACTTCCTGATTTTATGTTTTACTTAACTAATCTATAGTAAATGAATACTGTGTATTATTCTATATTACTGAAAAACACTAAGATATATACCTTTTACCCCTTTTCTCCCTTCTCTGGACTTCTTTCTCTTCATAAGAAAAGGTCAAGAAAGAAAAAGGGAATTCAAAATCACTCAAGGCAAGTTATCTGCTAGCAAATGTGATTAAAAGTTTGTTATTGAAAAAAGCTTGAAATGTAGCTTTTAAAAAAAATTATTTATTTATGCATATAGAACTGGGGTACAGGCCAGAGGTGCAGGGATGGCGAGAAGATTCACCAGAGACAGAGTGGGGAGCAGAACAGGCCAACTAATGAAGAACACTGCTGAGGGGAGCAGTAGGCAGGCCAGGAAAGGTCTGCCATGCTATGTGGGTCACCTCCAGGGCAGGGATCGAACTCATGCTGAAGTGGCTTTAGCTTCTTAGTGCTGTGCTTTAATCCACTGCGTTACCAGGGAAGGCCTGAAATGTAGCTTTTAAAGCACAAATTGGCACAGTAAAGAATATTCCTAAAACTAGAATTAGTTTAAGTTGGATAAATTAGGAGACTTAGTTCTTGGGTCTCTATGCCATTCCTTAAACTTATTCTTAATTCATTTCCACCTGACAAAAGATATAGTTTTAAAAACATATATTTTTAGTTGCAAATCTGAAATTAGTTATCAAGTTATTTTTTAAAAATAAGTTTATTTTTACATAATTTTGTGCCTTTTTCCATCTCCGTTGTAATCCCTGTGGGCTTCCCATCACCAAATCACCTGTGTGCTATCACCACAGTCCAGTGCACTTCCCTCCCCCCACTCCTATTTTTGATCCCATTCCTCTCTCCAACTCCATCAAATGTCTCTGATACATAGTTGTTCATTATTCCCCACCCCCCAATCCTTTATGCTCCTGCTATGAGTGAAACCATCCAGCATTTTTTTCTCTTGCTAGCTTATTTCGCTAAGCATGATCCCTTCCAGCTCCATCCATGTTGCTGCAAAAAGGCATGAGCTTATCTTTTTTCTATTGCTGAGTAATATTCCATTGTATATATTTACCACATCTACTTTTGGGCATTTGGGTTGATTCCATGTCTTTCCTATTACAAATAAAGCAGCAATAAACATGGGGATGTAGGTGTTTTTCTGAATCAATGTTTTTGTGTTTTTTTGGGAGATACCTAGGAGTGGGATTGCTGTGTCATATGGAAGCTCCATGTTTAGCAGTGTGAGGAACCTCCAGTTTTCCATAGTGGTTGTACTAGTTTGCATTCCCACCAGTAGAGCAGGAGCGATCCTTTTTCTCCACATCCTCGCCAACATTTGTTGTTGCTAGTTGTTTGAAGATGTGCCATTCTCACTGGTGTGAGGTGGTATCTCATTGTGGTTTTAATTTGCATCTCCCTTATTATAAGTGATGTTGAACATTCTTTCATATGCTTGTTGGCCAGTTATCAAGTCAGTTAAACTCAAAATAAAGGAAAACTACCTCTCCAAATGAGGTATTCTTTGCCAGTTTCTGCAAAGATAGCGTAATTCTCTAGAGTTTCTTAGTTTCATAACCTTTAAAATTTACTTCTTAATGCCTCATATTCAAATCAAATACCAAATCTTTGTGACACTACCTGAGGGAGTCAAGTAAAGCATTCAGCACACAACTAGACTGATAGGAAGAGCTTAGTAACTGCTCTGACAAGCACAGACTGAGTAAGAAAGTACTCAGACACTCTAGCTTCTGCCACCTACAATCATTAATCACCTCAGTTTCTTGATGCTGAGAGTTGGATTGTATATAGTGCCTTGAGCAGTCTGCTGATCCTCCGAGGTCTTCATATCTAGATCCTGTTCCTCAGGATCAGAAGGGAGATCCTTCAAGGGTATTATCTCATGAAATGGAGTGGATACAAAATGAGCTGCTCTAGCAAAGTCACAAGTGTCTTCTGGATTAGGACAAATAGTTACATTCCGAAAACCTGTGATAATAGCATCTTCACTCATGGGTTCAATTCCTGTAAATTCATCCTGAAATAGAAAGCACATAAAGTTTAGCTGAAATATTTTAAAGAGCATATCAATAGTGTATTGTTTTTACTCACACACATTAATTATTTTCAACATAGGGTACACAAAAAAGCATATTGGAATCTCTGGGGGAAAGACAGCTTTAAAAAGCACATCTTAACATTTGAGGAAAAGGTTTTATATCATGGGAACAGCAAACTATATCTTATCAAAAAACATATGCGGATCCTCCATACAAAGGAAAAATACTAGATTACCCTTACCCCTCCCAACCAATTTTATCTAGAACTAGAGCACTAATACCATTTCTCTTCTAACTTTGGGAAATGTTCTGATAATTTGCTACCTCCTAGGATTTAAGTCTTATCTATTTTATATAAAAGTGCTTATTTCATTTAACCCTTGTAGATATTACTTATTTTCAAGACCATTACCCATTTGATATAAACTGTTAATTTTTGACACAACATTAGTGAATGGAGGTGAGAGGGGCAACTAGAACTAATAAATATAGTTAAAAATTTTGTAAGATTTGGCCCTCCCTGGTGGCGCAGCGGGTTAAAGCACAGCACTGAGAATCTAAAGCCGCTTCCACATGAGTTCGATTCCCGCCTGCCCCGGAGGTGACCACATGGCGTGGCAGACCTCTCCTGACCCGCCCGCTGCTCCCCTCAGCAGTGTACTTCGTCGATCTGCCTGTTCTGCTCCCCGCTCTGTCTCTGGTGAATCCTCTCACCCTCCGCATCTCTGGCCTGTACCCCAGTTCTGTATGAATAAATAAATAAATCTTCTAAAAAAAAAAAATTTTGTAAGATTAAAGTAAAATAGATGTCTATAGTCTAAGAACAAATTTTCTATAAATGGTACTTATGCCCTATTAGCTTAGACATTTTAAATACTTTTAAGGGTAAAAAATTCTGTGGGTATCTACTAATAAAATTCAATTAAAAAGTAAAAAAAGCTAGGCTATCATTACTTTAATAATTCAGCCTATCTCTGTGAACAACTGAATCTAGAATGACTTATTCCACATCCAGCCTACTATTCACCATATTCTCTAGTAATGTTTTCTAGAACACAGTATGTAATTAATTACTCTCTGACATCATTTACTTTTCATAGCAGCCGGTGGATTAATTATCAGAATTACCTGGGAAAATATTTAAAATGAAAACATATATTTGAATTCATCCCTGGAAATTCCAATTCAGGCTAGCTAAAATGGGGCCTGAGCCCCATTAGCCATAAATAGCTCCTGAGACTTTTCCAGAAATTTCCTTTATCTTGATCTGGGTGGAGATTCACTTTTGTCAAAACTGATCTGGCGGTACAGTTCATATTTGTGTAGTTTACTGGATAAATAAAAACATGTTTAAAATTTTTCTTGGGTGATTTACTTCCTAGGATGTGGAGATCACACTGCTTTAAATCATTACAGCTACTGATCACATTGCTCCTTTAAAAAGTCTTCATATTAGGGCCCTCCCTGGCGGCACAACCAGTTGGAATGCAGAACTGCAAGCTAGCGCAGCCTCTTCAGTATTGAGTTCAATCCCCGGGCTGGGAGGTGATCCTCATGGCGTAGTAGACCTCTCCTGACCGCCCACTGCTCCCCTCAGCAGTGTACCTCATAGATCTGCCTTTTCTGCTCCCCACTCTATGGTGAATCCTCTCGCTGCCCCTGCACCTCTGGCTTGTACCCTAGTTCTATATATATAAATAAATAAATCTTAAAAAAAAAAAAAGTCTTCATATCAAAAATATTCAATTCTTGTTCCTAGCTTCAAAAGGATGATTTTCTTCTATAAAATATCAATGATAATGGTTACTTACTTTGACTTGAAAATGTTGATACATGGCCTTTTCCCCTCCACCCAAAGATTTATTTATTTATGCATACAAACTGGGGTACAGATCAGAGGTGGGAGAGGTAAGTGAGAGGATTCCAGAGAGAGTGGAGAACGTAACAGGCAGATTGACTGAAATACACTGCTGAGAGGATCAGCAGGTCAGACGGGAGTGGTCTGCTGTGCCATGTGGGTCACCTCTTGGGACTGAACTCATGCTGTAGTGGTTGTGGGTAGCTTCATAATGCTGAGCTTTAACCACTTGTGCCATCAGGAAGGCCCTGTGCAGGGCCTTTTTTCCGTAAGTATTATCATGTCACTAGTCCAAAGATATAACTAAAGAAAAACTGTTGGTCTACATAACTCTTCCATTGTCACACAAGGTATTTTGTATAAACAGAACACTGTTACGCTAATTTTTCTTAAAAATATTTATTCATACAGAACTGGGGTACAGGCCAGAGATGCGGAGGGTGGGAGGAGCCACCAGAGACAGAGTGGGGAGCAGAACAGGCAGATCTATGAAGTACACTGCTGAGGGGAGCAAAAGGTGGGTCAGGAGAGGTCTGCCAAGTCATGTGGTCACCTCTGGGGGCAGGCAGGGATCAAACTCATGCAGAAGTGGCTTAAGCTTCTTAGTGCTGTGCTTTAAGATGCTGCACCACCAGGGAGGGCCTGTTACGCTAATTTGAAGAGTGACTTTTTTCCCCCACTTAAAAAAAAAAGTGAAGGCCTCCCTGGTAGCCTAGGGGTTAAGTCTCAGAGCTATCTATTAGTGCTAAGGCTGGAGTTTGATGCCACCCAGGGAACTAAGTTCCTGTCTTGCCTGCTGCTTCCTGCAGCAATGTATTTCAGTAAAATCTGCCTGTTCTGCTCCCCATTCTGTCTCTGGTGAATCATCTCACTTCCCTGAATTTCTGGCTTGCACCCCACTTCTATACAAAGATGAATGAAATATAAAAAGATATAAAACCCCAACCACTTTGAAGTGCACATTTCACTGGCTTTTAGTGTACTCAGAATGTCTTATAACCGTAACCATTAACTCCAGAATATTCTCACCAATACCTGGAATTTAATGAAGGAAGTAAAGAACCTAGGTATCAAAAACTATAGAACTCTTGTTAAAAGAAATAAAAGAAGACACAAAGAGATATAAAGATATCTGACATCCTGTGCTCATGGACTGTCAGAATTAACATCATTAAAATGGTAATATTACCCATAGCAATTTAGATACAATGCTATTACTTATCAAAATACCAATGACTCTTTTCAAGGAAATAGAACAAAATTATAAAATTTATATGAACTACAAAATGCCATAAATAGGTAAAGTAATCTTGAGAGAAAAGAAAAATGGAGTTACCACATTTCCTTACTTCAAAACATATTACACAGAAACAGTTATCAAAAGATATTGGAACAAAAACAAAAACCCAGACCAAAGGAATTGACTTGGATGCCCAGAGATAAGCCTAAACAAATATAGTTAATTTTTGACTAAGGAACTAAGACCATACACTGGAGAAAGGATAGCCTCTTTAATAGAATTGGGAAACATGGATAGCCATTTGAAAAAAAAAAAAAAAAAGAACCATATTTAACTTCATACACAAAAAATAATTAAAAATGTATTAAAGGCCTTCCCTGGTGGCCAGTGGTTTGGAGCGCTGCACTGCAAAGCTAAGCCAAGCTGTGGCTGCTTCAGTGTGAGTTCGATCCCAGACCCGGAGGTGATCCACATGGTGCAGCAGACCTCTCCTGTCTTGCCTGCTGCTCCCCTAAGCACTGTACTTCTTCAACCTGCCTGCCCTACTCCTCACTATGTTTCTGGTGAATCCTCTTGCTGCCCCTGCACCTCTGGCTGTACCCTATTTCTGTATGCATAAATAAATAAATCTTTTTTAAAAATGGATTAAAGATGTGGATATAAGACCTGAAACATGAAGTACTTGAAAAGAAAAATTAAGGAACACACTACAGGATACCTACCACAAACCCAATGGCAAATTGGGGACTCAGACCCAATAGCAAGGGAATAAAAGCAAAAATAAATAAGTGGGACTACATCAAACTAAAAGGTGCTTGTACCTCAAAAGAAACTATCACAAAAGCGAAAAGGCAACCTAAAGAATAGGAGAAAATATTTGCACATCACTTATCTGGTTTATCTCCAAAATTTTCAAAGTTCTTATAAAATCTAATAAAAAAAAATAAACAACTCAGTCAAAAAATGGTGAAAGGACCTAATTAGACACGTTCCTAAAAAAGTCATTTGATTGGTCTATAGACATATAAGAAAATGTCCAAAATCACTTATTATATGGGAAATGTAAATCAAAACCATCCTGAGCTGCGACCTAATCCTTTTGAGTGTAGCCCATATAACAAGAATGGAATCAACAAATGTTGGCAGCGTTGAAATGAAAAAAGAACTCTCATCTATTGTTGGTGGGATCTGTGTTGGTGTAGCATCTGTGGAAAATGGTATGGAGAGTTCCTAAGAAAATAAAAAGTGAAAATTCCACAAGATCTAACAATACTGCTACTATTTACCCAAATAATCTGAAAAATCTTGAATGAAAAGATTTGACTAAGGCTATATTCACAGCAATGTCCAGAATTGCCAAGTCATGGAATCAATCTAAATATCCTTCAACATACAACAAATAAAGAAATTGTGGAATATACCCAGTGGAATTATCATACAACTATGAGAAACGATAAAAGTAGTATTTGGGACAAAATGGATAGACCTTGAAGTAGTACTTATGTTAAGTGAAATACTTGAAAAAATTAAGTCAGAGATCATCTGTAGAATATAAATTTAAAAAATACACAGGCAAAATATTGTAGGGATAAATCTTAAAACTCAGTGAAAAAATGGTTACTAGAAGGAACAGAGAAGAGGAAAGAAAGGATGAATACATCTCAAAATTAATTTTATATCAAATAAATGTTAGCTGAAAACAAAAAAGAAAAATATTTTCATTACTCTGGAATGAAACCATGTACCTATTAGCAATCATTCTTCATTACCCTCTTTCCTAACACCCTGATAATTCCCAATAAAAGGAATCATGACATGGTGGTTTTTTGTGTTTTCAAGGCCTATTCATGTTGTGGCATCTATTAGTACTCTCCATTCCTTTTCATGACCAAATAATATTCTACCACAGAGATATACACTTTGTTACTTATACATCAATTGATGAACACTGCATTGTTTCCACTTTTTGGCTCTACAAATAATGCTGCTATGAACATTCATGTACAAGTTTTTTTGTGCTTTATGAATTCTCTTGGATGTACACATAGGAGGGAGCTGCTGAGTCATGTAAATACTTCTAATATTCTAAGGAACTGCTAAATTTCCCAAAATGACTGAACTACTTTATACTCCCACCAAAAATGTTTGAAGGTTCTAATTTCTCCATATCCTAACCAACATTTGTTATCTTCTGGCTTGTTGATTACCCTACCCAGTGTAGTAAAGTGTCTCACTGTTGTTTTGATTTACATTCTTTGATAACTAATGATGCTGAACATCTTTTCATATTCTTATTTCAAACCAGTAGCTTTAATTTGAGCCCTAAACTTTTATAAGAATTAAACCAATCCACTATTTCATTATATTATCGTAGGGATGCTGCTCCTTACACAAACATCTGGAGATACATCCTCATTTGAGATGATGCTTTCTGAAGTTTTGAGAATTGCAAGAGGTCTTCGCTGGGTTAAAACCTGTGGGGGATTTGCAGGAAGACTAGAAAAAGCATATTCCATTAGCAATTTTTTTTTTCCATTGACAAAGGTTAACAGTAACCCCCTTTTAATAATAGAACATTTTAAATATTTAAAAAAATTGCCCAAAACTTCAAACCTGGTATTTTTTTTTTCTGAAAGAAGAAACTCATCAAAAATGGAGAAAGGTATACTGGGATCTGTAGAAAAAGAGACTAGATTGATATTCTTGAGAGTAAATGTTCTACTCTTAGCACAACTAGATCAATTAATATTTTGTATTGTTTGAAAGCAGAAAGGCAAAATGATTTTTATAATGAACAACTTAGGCATATAAAAATTGAAAATAACTTAATTATGTGTATGGTGATGATTTTGTTCCATTTTTATTCCTTACCACTAATACTAATCCCCAAACCAGATTCAACTGAACCATTTGTAGCAAATCAAGATATTAAAATATTTCATGTTTATGTTTTAGTATAAATTTCTAAAACCTTTTTATAGAAAGCAAATTTCTAAATATAATTATGACTAGAATTAATAATTTCTGAATATCAATTATCTAGGAATTTTACATTTTACCTTTTTTTAAATGAAAATTCAAATAGGGAATGCAGACTGGTTGAATACATTATAACTGATTTTTATACCCTAGGTTTTTTGTTTTTGTTAATAGTTTGTTAAAGAAACCGTTATTACTCCATAATGCTGCATTTTGCCAGGTACCTCTTCCTGTATTGTTTAACACATTCCCTCATGTATTTGTATTTCATATAAATAGGTGGTAGAAATTTAATCAAGATTCTATCTGACTTTATTTTGAACTACTTACTGGTAGATATTCAGGTTTTTACTACTTTAACATGTTTCTGAATAGTAAAAAGCCTAAATGTGAATGTAAACTATTAAAACTTTCCTTTCTTCTAAAAAAAGTCACTTTCTAGTCTTGGCTGCTAGATACTCCTGATATATTTAGCTCAGTGTACAGTAGCTAAAGTGGAAAATTATTTGGTAGGTAATGTAAGTTTAAATTTACATTTAAACCAAAAATTTCAAATGATTACCTAGTAATCATTAAAAAATACTCTTTCAAATAGCCGTCCTATTTTGTTATATCATGCTTATCATCGAATTCCATGATTCAAAGACACAATAACACTTTAGTACCCTCTGTATTTTTCCAACTCCCTTTACCTTATTACATAACACATTTCTTATCAAGTTCTTCATGAGATTGCCAAATACAACTCACTTTTAGAATGAGGTTCCTGCCAAATATTTTCTTCAAGTGAAGTTTCCCTGTGAAAAGACTCATTTTAAAACATGTGCTTAGCCCCACAGAATTATTTCTCAAAAGTATAGGAGGCTTTTTTTCATTAAATATAATTTTCATTCTAAGATAATGTTCTAAGATAAAGAATTTGGATTGACAGTATTTAACAAGATGAAAACTTTAGTCATTATAATTGTAGAGGTATACTATATAAAATATAAGTTATACTACAGTATAAACTGATTATCAAATGACAAGCTTTAGTTTACACAAACTAAAACACAAGAAGGGAATACACAAGAAGAGAGATATCAATGTTAATAATAGCCACTCTTACTGGCAGAAATAGGTGATTTTTTTTTAAAGTATATTTTATTGTTTCTGTTATAAACATTTTTTTAAATGGAAAAGCTGAGTATCCTATCTTCCCTTATCAGCATCACAGCTTATTTGTGACAGACTTGCAAAAATCATGTCTCACTATAATAAAAGTCAAGGAGACTAGAAGTCACTAAAATGTCTAAAGTTTGTTTCTAAATATCCTCATATAAGCAATGTGGTCCTACCTGGCACATGGGTTTGTTAGACAAACAGAACTGGATAGAGCCATTCCTGCTATTTCCTGAGGCTTGGAAGTTATTTGCAGTTCAGCTGTCTCCTCTGTAAGTGTCTTCTCTTTTTGCTATGTGAATTAAATAAACAAAATCAATGTTTCTCCCCTATCTAAAAAATGCTATCTATTTTTAACCTTCTGCTCCAAAATTAGCTTTATTATATATTCCCCTGGGTATTCGCTAACTATATAAAATGTCTTACCATAAAGGTTATTTCCATCAATTTATATTTCTAATATAAACATATATTGTTATAGTCAACTGTGTGGTACCAAGCACATACTAAATTTTTTAAGTAAACCCCATTTTAATGGAACATGACTAGAATAAATAAAGTCAAAAGTAACAAAACAATGGGTATAATGAAGAAGTAAAAAATTCTATCACTTATACCATTTATACAAATTCCATTTTGAAGTCATTTGTTCAATTACCTTATTCTCAACTTTGCTTCTACTAGTTTCAGCCAAGAAACTGCTGGGATCTCTGAATGGAGGTTGGGAGACTTTTACCTTCTATACATTTATAATGTTAAAATTTGTCTCAATATGTGTTAGTTTGTATCTTAAAAAAAGAGAAATGACCTGATCACTGGCTCTTTCTTGTTGAGTAGTTTGAATTTCTTTTAGCTTCTTTTCCATCTCTTCAATCTGTTTCTGCATTTCTGCTCTCTTCTCTGCACTTGTAAGCAGCTCGGCTAGAAACAGTAAAGTTGGCTGAGGTGTTCTGTGCTCTTCATAGCAAGTTATTCAATCAAAAACTGTATTTGGCAATCATGTCCTCAACATGCTATTAATATTACAGATGGAAGTTATGTAAATGGAACAAAGTCCTCAGGTTGAGGTCTTAGGATTCTATTATGAATTCAAATAATCAAAAGAAAAAACAGTATCTACTATAGGCCAAGCACAACTCTAAGCACTTGGGGTTTCATCGGTGTGTAATATAAAGTCCGTGGTCATGTGACACTGACATTCAACCCAAAGAGACAAATGCACACATGGATAGCTAGGAAAATCAGTGTTAAAAATTAGGTGATGGGGGGCCCTCCCTGGTGGCGCAGCGGGTTAAAGCACAGCACTGAGAA